ATTGCAGACACTCGAAAAATATTCAGTTTTAGGTAAAAATAGTCTTTTTACCTAACAGTGTACTCATCATATTGCATTTCCTTTGGCGGCATACCTTCTGAATATAGCCCACTTTACCACAGGAATGACACTTTGCATCTCGGAATCGACAGTTGGACCGCAAATGAAATTGACCGCACGACATACACCGATTGATATTCGTGGTTGGGGTCCTCTGGTCGTCTGATTATGAGGAGATTTGGACTGCATCCCAGGTTTATTGCCTCGTGAACTACTCTGGAATAACGTAGGCGACTTACGGGTTGTTGATGCAGTGAGATCATCATGCTGCTCACATATCCTCCCAGCCTCGGAAAATGTTAGATCCTTCTTTTCCAGCAACTTTCTCTGGAAATTTATATTGTTAATGCCTGCAATAAGGCAATCACACAATTGCTGCTCTAGTCTGTCTCCATAGTTACACTTGGAAGCCTGTTTGTTGAGCACAAGTATGAAATATCGACGGGATATTGACTCGGCACGAACCACCGAATTGAATTTTGCCCTCACAGTAGCTTGGAAATCAACAAGCATCACGTGGGCAAGAAGCAATTGTTTCAGTATCGGGAATGGTAACTTGGCCGGATTGTCGGGGAAGGCGAAATTCTTCAGCAGAGAATACATTTCCTTTCCACCAACCGTGAGAAATAGTACGGATTGATCCTGTCTTCCGTTCTGTCGTAGGCTGCACCACAGCTCAAAACGTTCGACCCATTTTTCAATCTCAGACGGATGTGAATGTAGACTCAGGGATTCGACAGTGCGCAACTTCATGCCGCGACGCCAATTGTAGTATTCGGAATAGGAATCGAAATCGAATAGCGCGAACTCGGTATCAGACTGAAAATCCACTGAATAGCGCAAAGTCAGGTAGAACCAAGACGGGCTGTGGATACAGTTAATTCTATTCAGAAAATCATGGAAATATATATTACAAGCAACAAACAATCATTGGTCGATTCTTGAATGTCCAATCGACAATGATATCGTTTATCTATTTGCCTTCTTGCACTCAGCCAATCCGGATGATGCCAAGTGAGACCACAGGGTTGATCGGTTATCCCGCTTCTTGATTAGTTACCTGGAGGCTGTACCGCGGTGCGTGCGTACTCGTTACACGATCACCACAGATAGCTACTGTGGTAACGCTTCACAAGGGTGGTCAGAAGTCCGACATAAGAAACTATAGACCATAAGCCTAGCCAGCATCCTCTGTAAATGCATGGAGAAGCGGAATAAGGAGCACGCATGTCGACATCTCTCGGGTTATACCCTGCTGAGTGGGGCGCAGCACGGATTCCTAAAGCACAGATCCTGTCTGACTAGCGATCTGTGGTACTAGGATGAAGTCACAGAAAACCTAGATAAGAGCCATACCACTGAGATTTGCAGCCTCGATTTTAGCAAAGCTTTCGATTCTAAAAAATAGATTGCTCCCTTACAAAATCAAATGCTTTGGGTCAGAATAAAAGTTGCATAGGTGGTTAACCGCTTTACTCATGAATAAAACATTTGCAGTGAGGGTAGCGGAGGCCAGTTCTCAGGTCATTTGACTGACCAGTGAAGTGCCTTAAGGTTCGGTTCTCGGACCTTTACTCTTTTCTTTATTCAATAATAACTTAGTGGGGTTAACCAATTCAACTTGTTTTATCTTTGTGCATGACGTGAAAGTGGTGGGATCGAGTGGCAGGGCTAACCTAGCGAGAACATTAAACGGGTAGTTAAGTGGTCAAATAAGTGGGACTTGGCACTGAATGCGGCCAATTGTCACCGATTGTCCAAGCAAAAGAATCCATTAATTCCTGTCGGTCTGTGGGGAGTATTAGAAGTCCAACCGGTAGAAACAGCCGGGGATCTTAGGGTATTAATGACTTCGGACTTCAGCTGGGGTAGCCAGCGTGGAATCGCAGCTTACAAGGCACGGGGAGAACGTATCCGGCTCAGCTCGGCTCTTGCAGAAAACCGGAAATCTGCTTGAAGAAAGTGCAGAGATTAGCTACGAGACTGGTAGAGGGGCAGAGAGGTAAATCAAACCAGGAAACATTAAGGGACCAGAATCTATTTTCTCTAGAAAGAAGGTGAATTGGAGGGGACCGTAAAGAAGCGTTTAAAATTAGAAGGGGATTCTCTGAGATTCCCCATGAGGAACTCTTCACGGATGCCCCGGATGCTAGTACCAGGGGTCACGAGTACGAACTAATTAAGAAAAGGAGTAGGTTAGGTATGAGTTCTAACTACTTGAGCAACAGAATAGTAATAATTTGAAATAGACTAACCGGGGAGCTAGTCAACCTCCCGAAGTGTTTACGCCTTCAAACTGGCTTTGGATAAGGGGTGNGAGGAGTACTGAGCAAGGTGCGAATGTTAGGGTCATAACTTTTTGTGTGCAATATGGAACGCTTTCACGTTAAAAGTCTCTCACCAACACGGCGAGGAGTAAGGTTTCTCTTTCTCTCTATTTACAGATGGTCGGAGAAGCCGATCAATTGAAGAGGTGGATGCATACTCGTGAGCACGCCACTGAAGGAATTCTGGATGCTCGATTGGCCGTAGCAACTACTAGCCCTATGCAACCTGATCTGACCTAACCTGAACTGAACCCTGAAACTCTGAAATTT